TTTACCTCCGGGTGGGGGCGCGGCAGGGGCAGGGGCCGAGGCGAGGCCCGCAGCTCCCTGAAGCTCACGCGCGGCCCCCGCAGAGGCTACAAGAACGTAAGGAAGCAGCCCACCGGCCTGAGCAAGGAGGTGAGAGGTGGGCCCTCCTGGAGTGCGGGGGTGGGATTGGGAGGGGGCTGACCCTGCGCTGCGGTGAGCACTTGCACTCCCCTCCCCAACAGGACTTTGTCGAAGTCTGTAAGCGGGAAGGAGGTGACCCCGAGAAGGGAGTGGACCGGCTCCTGGGCCTGGGGAGCTCCAGGTGCGGGACCGGAGGGTCCTTGGGGGCCCCAGAAATCACGAGGGCGTGGCTCCTCGGGGCTCCGTACTGTCAGCCGCCCAGGGGGTCGTCTGGGCGCACCACTTCTCTAGGGAGGCCTGGGGATGGGCGGTCCTCGCCGTGGGTGTCTGTGGGGGTGTGTCTCACCATGGGGGGATCTCACCCACGTCCCCGCAGTGGCTCTGCAGGGCGAGTGGCGCTGTCCCGGGAAGACAAAGAGGCTGCTAAGCTGGGGCTTTCAGTGTTCACGGTAACTACCCCCAAACATCCTGGGATCCCATGGTGGGGTGGGGGGTGGTCTGAGTGCCTCTTCCTGTTGAGGGGCCTTGGGGGCAGGCCGTCTCTCCTTGGGGATACCCTCCCAGCTTCTGGCTGGTTCTCGTCGGTCGCTTTGCAAGGGCGCCCCGCACACCCCCTGGCTTTTTTTTCTCTGCAGCACCACCGCGTGGAGAGCAGTCGGACAGGGACCTCCCTGGCCTCGGCCAAAAAGAAGCCTCGGTCAGAGGAGAAGGTGGAGCCGGGGTAAGGCCTCCCAGGGCACAGAACTCACTGTTTTCTCAGCATGTTGGCTGCTTCTCCAGTCAGTGAACTCCCCAGCTCCAGCCCCTTTTTTCTTTTGAGGAGCCTCTGGAGATTCTGAGCCCTAGGGCGGTCTCATGACTGCCTACCAACCCCCTGTAGGGTCAGGGGCCCTGGAGGAGGATGCTCAGACATGGACCACTTGTGTGAGGGTCTGGGGAGCACAGGAGGGGGTCACCACCCGGCCCCAAGAGTGCAGGGGCATCCCAATGGGAGGGCTGGAAGGAGCCATGAGATTGTCAGGTGCTGCCCTGCAGACCTTTCTGCCGTGGTTGGAATGTGTCTGTGATGCCCACCATGGTAGCCACTGGCCACACATGGTACTGAGGAGTTTTCTTTAGTGATCTGAGGTTGAAATGGCTACACATGGTCAGTGGCTACTGTGGTGGCCCCACCCCCGGCTAGACCCCCCAAACCCCCGAGGCTCCTGGCACTCCGTATCATCCTTTGCAGCCCTGAAAGCCACAGGAAGAGCAGGAAAGAGAAGAAAAAGAAGAAGAGGCACAAGAAAGAGAAGAGGAGGAAAGAAAAGGAGCATGGGAGGGGGCCGGATTCCTCACAGCCCCCTGCTCCCATCCAGTAGGTGCAGCTGTCTGGGGATGGAGACAGAGTGCTGGGCAGGCAGGGGCCCTCACGCCAGGTGTCCCCTGGTCTCCCTTAGGCATGACTCAGACTCCTCGACTTGCTGCAAGAGGAAGCGCAGGCATGACAGCGACTGAGGTCCAGGGATCTGGAGGGCTGGCCTGTGGGGGTCACCCCAGGTCCCCAAAGAGGCTTAGTTGTGGCCAAGTATGGCTACTTCTATTCTTCTTTGTGTTGACTCATTCTTTGTACTTAAATAAACTTAAGTGGAAAGTGTCTCATACTAAAGGGAAGGTTGTTGTCATGTGTCACAATAGAACGCGATGTGTGAAAATGTGGTAAATCTCTTGAGTTCCAGCAAGACTACCTGCAAGCCCATTGGGAGGGGCACTGTCCTTTTGGTGGTCAGCATCCTGGGGTCCCATGTTGGCCTGGTCCCCTGCATCAACTTCAGGTGTACCAAGAGCCCTGGGTCATGTGTGGCCAGCAGGGAAGGCAGAGGGGCCAAAGAGTGCTCAGCTGCAGGTAGGTGAGCATGCTAGAAGGGGCAGCCTGGGCATTTAGATCATGGGGAGCTGGACTTGTACCTGGAGCCACCCTTGTCTCCCCAGACCACCAAGGGACCTCTTAACCACTGTCTCACCCCCATCCCCTTTGCGTGCTACAGCACTGGCTCCCTCCACCCGGCCCCCCATCTCCAAGGCTGGGAGGCATACATACAACCTGGCCCTCCATAGGAAAAGTGAAAACATCTTACAACCACATTGGAATAAAGACAAAACCCAGACTGGATTCATTATTGAGGTTCTTGTTTTGCTTCTGATTTTCAAAGAAATGAGAGCTGAAGGCAATTCTGTCTTCAGAGCACTCAGCACTGGTTTTCAGCCTGTTAGAGCAGATCATTGAGGGTGGGGCAGCCTGCCTTCTAGGGGAAGGGACACCTGGAACTTCGCCTGCCAATGCCTGCACCCAGTGGGGCGAACAAGGGTGCCAAGAAGGGCTCCAGGTCAGAGGGACAACCCCTGCAAAAGTGGGACAGGGTCTATGGCACAGGTGCACAAAGCACCCAGCCAGGCATGGGTCAATCGCTGTGGCAGT